CACTGTTTGAAGTCACGAAGATCGACCACTGCCAAGTGAATAAGTATAGTGGGGAAAAAGGGAAGCGTTCCAAAGACTGACCCTTAGAACCCCGCAACCGTTTAGAAATTAAAGGTGATGAAGAAGGAATGTCCTGCAAAATGCAGCAGCTCAATTACATGTAGAGAACTTGTAAGCACTTGACCTTGGGTAGCATTCCCTTGAATGGCATTCTCACACCCAGCATTCCTTTTATTCTACTGAAACACATTCAGAGGGGTTCCTTATTCACTTAGCACGTTCACTCCCCATCAAGAATTTATGAGAACTGGGTTTTGACAGAATATGCTTAAACCTTCTAAAACCCAAGTATTTAGATCCAGAAAACTGTACATTTGAGCATCTGTGTAATTGTTTACCAGAAAAGAATGCGATGATGGAAAATGAATGTGGCAAAAATATCATCGACAAGATCCATAGACTCACAAGTTTCACGGGATTTACCGAGGGAATGTGCATGTTTCATTGGAGGCGGGATAAAGCAGTACTTACTCTTTAGGAGGAAGTGAAGGGAAAGAACAAGGAATGGTGATGCAAGCATATTAGCCAAATTATAGGAAAGCTGGGGAATAGTCCCAAAGGGAAATCCTAGTAAACCATTTTAAGAACGTAACCTCCCAAATGCCCAAGGTCGAAGGTCTGATTTAAGTCTTCTCTTTTGTCCTTTTGGAGAGAAAAAAAATACTGTAAAAATCCAGTAGGTAGTGCAGAAAGTGAGTGGTTACATAAATTATGGTGCCAGGCAACGATGTGGAGTAGTATTTAGCCATTAAAAAAATCACAACTTAGAATACTTACTAAGCCAGAAAAATGTTTATTGCTAACAGAGTAAATCAGACTATTGAACCATACATACACAAAGCACATTAATTTAAAAACATCAAATGCACACAAAATAACCAACATCAAATACATATAACAATTGATGGGATAATGGATGGTTTTCATTTTCTTCTGGGTGTGTTTTAAGTGTTTCTATAATGCACTAATACCTTTGTAAATGAAAATAAAGAATTTAGAGTTTCTAAAAAGAGGGTAGACTCAAAGCCCAGAGAATCATATCAAACAAATTCCATGTAGTGTTTCACTCAGGAGCTAAGGATTTCTCTGTGTGTGTGTAACAGTTAGAAGTTCTTTAACTCAGGTGGGCTGCCAGGTCCAAAGTCAAGGAAGCAGATGGCAGAGTCCTCCCTGAGGCAATGCAAGCAGAGGCTGCCCACAGGCAGCAAGCAGCAGGGAGGGTCACCAACAGTCAGTACCTCAGAAGCTTAGCAAAGTAGCTCGGATGGGATACTGAACACAAGCGATGCAAGGCGACAGGATCCACCAGCCTCAAGCTCAAATGATGTATGCACCAGCAGCACTGCAAAGTAGGTCTCAAAGGAGCCTCAAGCTCTAGTGACAAGATCCATGGGTTGGCTTGGCCCACAGGTAGTGTGGTTCACAGCTTGAGGCAGAGACATAGCTAAAGCAGCAGCATGTTGATCCAGTCACCAGAGAGCAAAGAGAGAGGGGGCGGGCCTTGCAGGGCCATTTATCTCTTTGCCCTCCAATCAAACTGTGACCTGATTTCACATGCTCCTAATGGCCAGGTTGTCACAATAAACCTAACTATCACAGTATGTGTATGGGGGTGAGGGGTGGGGGCTTTGGATTGGTTATTATGAAACCAGCATGCAGGAAACAAGTTTTAAAAAGTGTTCTCAGACATGAGAACATGTTGATATTAATATATTAATATAAATTTTAAATTGAGCAAAATAAGTTAAAACCTTTAAGGGCCAATAATAAAAAAAGGATGTACAAGAGTATATGTATTCTCATGTGTTATATATATTCTTAATAATGATGTGCATTAGCAGTCTTTTGTGAAAGCAATTTAGCAACATGAACGAATCGTAGAACGTACTGCTACTGTGGAAAACAGCTTAGTAATTTCTTATAAAACTAAATGTACAACAGAGGCATTAGTGGTTCAGTGGTGGAATTCTTGCCCAGCCAGTGTGCCTCATGGGCAGCCAGCGATCACTGTGTTACTATGATGATAGACGGATTTCAGCAGGCTGTCTAGATCGAGGCTAAAAAGAAAGCCATGCCAATCTACTTCTGAAAATCAGCCAAGGAAAACCCTGTGGATCTCCCCCGAAACCGACCACGAGACAGACTGGACAGCATTTCATTACGTGGTGCAGGAGATTGGCATGAGTGTGTGGGGGTGGGAGGTGGGATGGGATGGGGAGGCAACTCGTCAGCAGCTAGCAACAAGTATACAACTACCACACCTCCCAGCCATTGCACCCTTGGGTATTTATTCCTGAGAACTGAAAGCCGATGTGTACACAAAACCTGGTTACAAATGTTCATCGCAACTTTATTCGTCAGAGTTAAAAACTGGGAGACAACCCAGGTAGCTTTCCAAGAATGCTTCACCCACGGTGGTGCAGACGCACTATGGAGGCGCAGCAGCCAAAGGGAGCAAACTGGATACGAGCAGCAAGTTGGGAAATATCCAGGGAATTAGGCTGAGTGAAAAAGTTTTCTCGAGGAGCCATGCATTGTAGGGGTCCATTTATAGAACCTTCTTATATAAAAGTATAGAAATGGAGAACACATTAGTGTTTGTCAGGAGAGGATGGGAGGAAGGAGGGAGTTGGGACTACAAAAGGACAACTGGAGGGATCCTTGTGGTGATGGAACTCTGACATCAAAGTCACTATTCTGGTTATTAGATTACACCATGTTGTTGTTATGCACAACACACTGAAACACTGCCTGGTCCTGTGCCATCCTCACAATTGTTCCTAAGCCTGAGCCCATTGTTGCAGCCACTGGGTCCATCCATCTTGTCCAGGGCCTCCCTCTCTTTACATGCTCTTCTACTTTACCAACCATGGTGTCCTTCTCCAGGGACTGGTCTCTCCTGACAACATGTCCAGAGCATGTAAGACAAAGTCTCACCATCCTTGCCTCTAAGGAGCACTCTGGCCATACTTCTTCCAAGACAGATTTGTTTGATAAAATATTACTACTCAGGTAATCCAAATAGACATTACTTAGGAATGAATCTGTTTAATTAAAAAAAAATTTTTTTCACATCTGTGTGTCTACAAATGAAAGAGTTTACTTAAAACCAAAACAAAACCCCTGGGTCTGGGCTAAATGGGAGCTGAACCAGATGTTCAGTGCAGTTATTTACAACAGGGAAAAGGATGATCTAAGTGTCCAAACAGCGGGCATAGTTGAATCATGAGATCCCTACCTTTCTTAGTTTCCTAGCGCTGCTGTTAATAGAAATACCACAAGCATGAGTCTTCGAAGAACAGAACTTTCTGTTTGTCACAGTGTAGGGCAGTATAAGTCCAAATTCAGGGACTCCTCTGTGAAGCCCTGGGTGAGGGACCGCAGGGGGGAGGGGTGGAGAGGAGTCCTTCCTGTCTCAGTTCCTGTAGCCCTGCAAGCAGCTCCCCAGGGATTTCTAAATGGCATCTAATCTTCCTGTCAGGTGCTTCTCTGCTTGAGTCTGGTCTGCTCTTTTTGATCATTCGATTTAGGAACACACACAACAGAGAAAACCTTTCCACACAGAATTACATCTACAGCAGCAGTTCTCAGCTTATGGGTCGAGACCCCTTTGTGGGTCACCCGATTCATAACTTTAGCAAAATTAGTTATGAAGTAGCAACAAAAATAAAATTTTATGGTTGGGGGGGCGTGTCTCACCACAACATGAGGAACTATATTAAAGGGTTGCAGCATTAGAAGGTTGAGAACCACTGATGTATAGGCATACAGAAGTGTACCTCTCTAAGGGAAATAGTGCTGAATGAACCTCACTTCTGATGGTGCAAACTGCATGGCCAACAGAAACTGCCAACTATTGGTGCCCCTCATGTGGCCCCCAGGGTCACGGGCCTGCCATGCTTCAGATAGGTGTCCACTTCTGCACGTTTAGGAATGAGGATTCCAACACATATTTTAGACCACAATTCAATCCCTACCACCACCCAAGGGAGAATTGCTAATTTGGATGCAGTAACCAAGAAAAGTGAGAAAGGAGCATGCAAAATTGTGGGCCAGTCTGAAAGCTGTGATGGGTAACGGGGCATATTACCCAAATTTGATACTCGATGGTGGGGGTCGAAGGGCGGGTTTACTTCACGCAACTGGCTTTGTTTTGTTAAGGGGGATTTCTAGTAGAAACGTCTCCATTCCCCAAACTTTCTGTGAAGTTTTTATGTTGTGGAGGGTCAAACATTCATTAAAGGGCGTTTTGAAGGTTACGTTACAGATGTCAGATCAGAATGAAAAAGTTACTTAAATCCGTCTCTCCCCAGAACTTCATTTCGCAGGTTCCTTCGAGGGTTTAAGCAAGAGTGGGTCGCCCCTGGGCCGGTGCGGTGAGCTCCCGACCCTCCGACCTCGAGGCTCCTCCGAGGCGTCGGCTCCTGCTGTCCCCACAAGCCCCACCCCAGGACCCCACCAAGCGGCGAGAGCGCGGCCACCGCCTGGAGGTAAGTGACCACTCCAAGGTCACTGTCCCGAGTCCTCAGCCGCAACCGCCGCGCCTACAGTTCGGCCCCGGCCCAGGGTTCCCCGCAACTGCGTCCGTGCCTCGTCGGTGCCCGGCGCCCCATCCGAGCTGCGACCCCATTGGTGCAAGCTCCGCCGGGGCGAGTCCCCACGTTTCGGCGTGGCAGCGGCCGAGGACCCCGGGCCGGGAGCTCGGCGCCACCGCGACCGGCTCAGGGCCGGGCCCGGGGCGCAGCACGGCACCAAATCGTCACGTAGACCCTCATCTTTTTTCGCCCTCTCAACCCAGCTTTTCCCGACTCCGGGAAGAACCGGGAAGAGAAGGCGGAGGGAGGCGCGGCGCCGCTGCATAAATACGGTGGCCCGGCCCCGCCCACCGCACGTCACTTCCGCCGCGCGGCAAGATGGCGGCGCCCAGGTCATGCCACGCAGACTTCCGGCCGGCACGGTGACTGAGCGCCAGGCGCGGGTCGCGTCGGAGGTGAGGCCGCGCGGTGCCGTGCCCGGGCAGCGCCGGGGGCGGACGGGGGGGGTCCCCGCCTCGTGCCCGGCCGGAGGGCCTGCGGAAGAGCAGCAGGTAGCGGGCTAGGGGCGCGAGCTTGCGCCTCAGCCCGGTGGTCCGGGGGGCGGTGCCACGTGGGACAGGGCGGAGCTGAGACGCACGGGGAGGGACGCGCCGTCCGTGGGGCGGGAGGCCACGTGGTTGGGGGGTCACGCCCAGGATTCGTGGGTCTGGCCCCCTGAGTGACTCCCCGCCCCCATCTCCCCCTTTCTTCCCCAGGCATCATGTCGGAAGGAAACGCCGGGGGCGAACCGAGCGCACCGGGAGGGTCGCGGCCCCTCCTCCCTGGAGCCCGAGGGCTTATCGGGAGGCGTCCGGCACCTCCACTTACCCCTGGCCGCCTTCCATCCGTCCGCTCCAGGGACCTCACCCTCGGGGGAGTCAAGAAGGTAGCCACTCTAAAGAAACCCAATCACCTTGCGCTCCTTGCCCCTGAGAGTCGGCTGAAAGTGCTGTAAGGCCTACTGTGTGCCTGGTGTGGTGTCTAGCCCCTCGGGAATCTCGTGTCCAGACTTCCCCTACCCTCCTTAAGTTCTGGGCATCATGTTGAACTGTAAGTCGTCAGTGCCGGGGATGAAACACTAATTATGCTTCCCAGAGGCTGCTGAGGGCCAGATAATCCTAAATTTGTCCAAGACATTCAAATGCCACAGTGTGTCTTTAGTTTGTATGTTTGAGACGCCGTTTAAGAAAGCCGTGAAAACAACGCAAACATAAGCATTTGTCTGCCATTTGAGAGGGTTCAGAACTCTCCGTGGATGTGGGTGTGCAAGCTTCTGATCGACCCTGTAATGATCTGTGCCCCCTCCACCTGCGTTTCTGCCTGTCGATGTCAAAGAGTCCTGAAGAGGTGGGGAAAGGACGAAGACATAAAGCAGCAGCAGGTTTTTAAGAACTTAGTGTGGGAATTTGGGGTGGCAGTCTCTCATCTTAGGGCTGGCAGATCTATTCTCTCTAGTAGTTGAGCTTTCAACAGTCTGGCTGGACCTTTGGAGACAGGTGAGTAGCTCAAGTCTTCTGCTTTTAGGAATTTGAGAGGCTGCTCTCATCTCAGTGGGCAAAGGCAGAGGCTACTCGTTAAAACGTTTTCTGGCGCCCCATCTTCTCTGTACCTCACTGCCACCATGGCGTGACATTGCTTGTTTCCAGGGCCACATCCATCCTGAAATCTCTGACCACAGTGTCCAGTGTGTGGAAGAGAGCCGGGGTGGGGCTGGTTCCTAGAAGGTGTCCTTTGGGATTTGTACTCGCTTCTGTGTTTTGGGATCAGAACTTAACCAAATCAATGACTCCTGTCTTTTACGTTCAGAAAACCTTCACCCCAAACATCATCACGAGGAAGATCAAGGAAGAGTAAGTAGCCAGGCCTCTGAATACCTGCCCCTTGTGTGTTTGCTCTGAATACGGGGCTTTCCTTTGTATGCTTGAGACACACAGAGGCATATGGTCCAGAAACCTAAACTTGTGTGCTTAGTTATTTTTGCTAGTGAATGTCAACCCCAGTTCCCGGGTGATTCAAGTGTGCCAGCTTTTAAAAAAGTATTGATAACTGGGGCTACATCCCTCCGACGGAATGTAATTTAATTATATTTTGAGGTAGAGTGGAATGATTTTCTTACATAGAGAGCCACTAGTTTAGACAAAAATCTATTGTTTCTCTATATATTCATATGTATTACAGCCTCTGTGCTTTCGGTTGTTAAAAAACTAACCACCAAAATTAGAAAAAAATTATGTTTGGGCATATGGCTATGGCTCAACATTTGAGTTATAGCTCTAACATACACGCTTAAGTGGAAAGGCGAGTCAAGCAGACTGCTGCGTCAAGGAAGCGAGACAGTTGTTAGACTTAGGGTTGACGTCGACTTCTCGTGCTGTTACTTGGCTGCACTTTCTGCTCAGCTGGAGTGGAGGGAAGTGGAGCAGTGTGGGGAAGTAAGATGAGTGCTGTGGGGCAGGGTGAGTGGTGTCTCACCCCACCTGCTTTTCAGGCCTAAAGAAGAAGTAACTGTCAAGAAGGAGAGGCGGGAGAGGGACAGAGAGCGGCTGCGAGAAGGACATGGGCGTGGCCGGGGTCGGCCTGAAGTGATCCAGTCTCACTCCATCTTTGAGCAGGGACCAGCGGAAATGATGAAGAAAAAAGGTACACGGCTGCTGGGAGCCCAGAGGCAGGAGTGCGTGGTGGCTTTAGGCCCAGACTGCCTAAGAGAAGGGCAAGAACAATGGAATTCCCTAGTGACTGGGCGATTTTTTTCCCTAGGGAACTGGGATAAGACAGTGGATATGTCAGACATGGGTCCCTCTCATATCATCAACATCAAAAAGGAGAAGAGAGAGACGGATGAAGAAACAAGACAGATCCTGCGCATGCTGGAGAAGGACGATGTAGGTACAGGGGCTGCGGAGAAGGGGCCCTGGTGTGGCTTTGGGGAAGGGCTTCTGGGAAGCCAGGGTGAGGGGTGGAGGCTCCGTGATGCCCTGGAATCCTGGTGAGCAGCTGGAATTGTTGGTTGGAAAGGGGTTCAGGTGAACTCCATGTAGGTGCTTGTGCTGGCCAGAGCATGTGACCCTTCCGACTCTTTCACAGTTCATTGACGACCCTGGGCTTCGCAATGACACCCGGAACATGCCTGTTCAGTTGCCGTTGGCTCACTCTGGTTGGCTGTTTAAGGAGGAGAGCGAAGAACCAGATGTTAAACCTTGCCTGGCTGGCCCCAAGGAAGAGGACATGGAGGTGGATGTGCCTGTTGTGAAAGGTATATGTGTTAGTAACTTTTTCTCTCCTTTTCTGTGGCCACCCCCAAGAATCCCTTCTGCAGAGCCACCCAGACTACTGCTAATAGGCAGGTCCTATGCCATTCCACCTGTATAAACCCAGCACCTGAACAAAAGATTGGAAGTTCTTGCTCTCAGAAGGTTCCAGTGCTGATGTGGGTCGGCAGGCCCAGCATCAGATGCTACATAATATGCTGTTGCTGTCCTTCTCTGTAACTGATGTGTCCCTCAAACTTCTTGGCTCAGTGATGGGGCAGAACTGGGGGTGAGGGGACGAGTATAGTAGTGGACGTTATAATAGAAAGGGTGGACTCATGAAAGTTCATCCTTCTGTATTGCCCCGGGCAGTGAAAGAGGAGCCACAAGATGAGGAGGAGGAGGCCAAGACGAAGGCTCCCCACAAAGCTGCCAGGAAGACCCCTGGCCTTCCAAAGGACATATCTGTGGCGGAGCTGCTCAGGGAGCTAAGCCTCACCAAGGAGGAAGAACTCCTGTTCCTCCAGCTGCCGGACACCCTCCCTGGCCAGCCGCCCACTCAGGACATCAAGCCTATCAAGACAGAAGTGCAGGGCGAGGATGGACACATGGTGGTCATAAAGCAGGAGAAAGACCGAGTACGTGCAGGACTGCGTGGTGTGAAAACATGCGGGAACTGCAAGGGGGAAGACAGGCATGTCAGCTCCAGTGCTCATGAGGAAAGCACAGGCGGGGTTTTCTATATATCAGAGGGGTTTGTGGGGCGGGCTTTGTACCTCCTATCCCAATTTGTATGTGTGTCAGTCTAGGTAGCCTAGAGAGATGTTCATTAGCATGCATATGTGTATAAAAGAATTTTGTATACAAGAGCGGTTGATAATGAGAAAACACCCCAGCCCACTCCAGATCAAGTCCGTAAGTCCAATATTAGCCTATATGTCTGACACCAATCTATAAAGTCCTCTTCAGACTCACGAAACACATGCAATGATGCCAAATGCAGGAAGAACACAGGCCAGTGGGTGGGAAGTCTTGTGGATCCAGTGGCAGTAAAAGCATCTCACGCTGGCAGGGGTCTCCACGTGGTTCCTTCAGGGTACAGGGTCTATCACTGTAGTGCCATGTGTCTTGTCAGTAGAGCGTCTCTCCAGGGAGTCAGCAGAGAGAGAGAAAAGAATCTTCTCCAAGGAGAAAAGCCAGGAGTTCCCAGAATTCTCGAGAATGCATGCCCACACAGAGAACTCACTGGCTATGACCCGACTGACAGACTAGACTCCACCCCTTCACTCTTAATCCTCTCAAGTTCCAAATTGACACTAGATTAGGTAACTACCACAGTATGCATCTATTTTTTATAGTGAGAAAAATGTGAATAATACAAATGAGAAAACAAAGACCCCATTTACTGTCACTCAGCTCCAGCAGCAATCTCTGTTTTATCTATTTGTTAGTATTTAGTTAGCTTGGGTTTTGTTTGTTAAACCAGAGCTAGTCAGCACTAGGAAAAGGTCCTCTTAGGGAAGGAAGCTCATTCTGAGCTTTGAAGCCTGGTGCCTCTTGGGGGCAGGATAGAAAAAGGTTCACCTAGCTTCTCACCCCTTACTCTCTTTCTAGGAAGCCAGACTGGCAGAGAATACTTGCACTCTGGGTGACCTGACAGAGGGCCAGGTGGGCAAACTGCTCATCCGCAAGTCAGGAAAGGTGCAACTCCTCCTGGGCAAGGTGACACTGGACGTAACGATGGGCACTTCCTGCTCATTCCTGCAGGTGAGTGCCCTCGGCTCTTGAAGTAAGTGGGGGCTTCTGGGGATCATGCGCGTGAAACTTGAGGAAATGGGAGGAGGTGTGAGGGTTTGGTTCTCATCGCTGTCTCTGTCTCGCAGGAGCTGGTGTCCGTGGGCCTTGGAGACAGTCGGACGGGTGATCTGACAGTCCTGGGACATGTGAAACACAAACTTGTATGTTCCCCTGATTTTGAATCCCTCTTGGATCACAAACACCGGTAAAACAGTAGCTGGAGGAAGATGGTGACTGCCCAAGGCTGCTGCCTGCTCCAGACATTTTGTTCTTGGATCTGTGAGGCCCAGAAGGGGCCTGTTTCATGCACCCACTCCAGCCTTTGGCAACCATTGTCCCATTTATCCACTTAGGCCCAGCGCCAAGCAGCTCCTTCCCCCAGCAGCTGTGCATGGCCCGGGGTCCGGCCCGCGCTGTGGGCACTGCGCATCTCACTGCTGGGCACTGGTCCCTTTTATTTATTTTTTATTTATGTCTTACCTCTGAAACTGACTGCCTCCGCCCAGGGTAGTGCAGACTCCTCTCAGTGACCCTCTTGGTTCTCCAGTTGGGAAGGGGAAGGGCTGGTGGTGCAGTGGTTACAGGCTTGGTAACCACTCAAGGTCAGCAGTTTGAAACCGCCATCTGCTCCTCGGGAGAAAGATGGAGTTTCTACTCCCCGAGAGAGTTACAGTCTCAAACCCACTGGGGCAGGCCTACTCTGCCCTTTTAGGGTCACTCTGAATTGGAATCAACTTGACAGCAGTGAGTTTGACTTTTGTCTTTTTCTTGGGGTTTCCCTCCTGAGGGGCAGGGGCAGCGTGGTAGAAAGGGCAGGGAATGTGTGGGTCTGATACTTTGTCCTCAGCTCTGGCCCATCAGTTACTTGAGTGACTCTGGACAAACTCTCAACCTTCCTGAGCCTTACTTTCCTCGTTTGACAAAATGAGGATAAGTCCTACCTCACAGGGTTGGTGTGAGGATTGAGTGGGACAGAGGAGATGGAAAACTTGCACAAGGCCAGGCATACATGCAGTAGGCGCTCACTAATTGTTGGTTTCCCTTCCCTTTTCAAACAAAATAGAATTTCTCCGAATGGGTAGCGTTGCTCAGCTGCCACTCGTAGTCTGACGCTCTGAAGGTGTGAGCACAGGTAGAGCTGTGTCCTTTTGTCCTGGGCATGCTCAGCCGAGGCTTCCTGCTTGTTCGTGTGTGAAGTGAAACATCCAGAGGTGACTCCTCCTGTGCTGGTGGTTAGGGACTGTCGAGTTGGTTCCGACTGTGTACAGCAGTACGACTCACTGCCCGATCCCGCACCGCCCTCACAGTTCAACATGTTTAAGCCCCTGAGAGGCCTCCTGTGCAGCACCCACAGAGAGCTGTGGGTGACATGGTCCCTGGATTCATTACCCCCACCAAAGAGTAGCAGTGCTCTTAGCTTCCTTTTCAATATTTCTCAAAGCAAAAGCTCGGACCACTCACTTAGAGCATTGCCACAGAGTCAAATATTTGTTCATTAAGTCAGATATTTCTAAAAAGCCATCTTGGGTAAGAAATAGTAGGGCTTTATTGATGAATGGCCTCTGGCACTGGACAGGAGCTAATGAATGTGAGGAGCGCACATTCTGCCTTTGATCTTGAGAGGCATCACTAGATCCAGCCACTCAGCATGGAGTCCGGTCCCAGCTTTTAGTTTGTGGGGCCAGAATCTTGTAATACTTTGGCCTTCCAACCTACAGATCTTAGAGAAAGTCTTCTTTCTTTGTCCGCCTGGACTTCCCCCTGGCTCCGCTGTGCGAGCCTGTTGGAGGTTATGGAAAGTCGTGCAGCAGTATTCGCTTGGGTTGCGGACGAGTGTCACGGCTCCCCTTTATTGTGGTCTTACCACACTGCCTCTTGAGCAGGGGTGGCAGCACAGCTTCATTAAGAACCGCCCCATCTCCATTAAGGTAGCCCCAGAGGTTTTGGAAATGTCTTCCTTTCGTCACATTTTTTCTTGCTTCATCCTGCTAATGGCTGAAGCTCTTCCCACACTGAGCTCAAGCTGCCCAGCTAGCAATTCCAAGTCTCCCAGCTTGTAGGGCTGCCAAACGGTGCCACAAACTCAGTAGCTGTTGAATCCCAAATCCTGTTGGCAAGTCTTGATTCACTAGAAGGCTCTTGTCCTGTGCCCCTCCTCTAGCTCCTGGTGGCCTTGGCAGCCCTGGGAGCCCCTTGACTTCTCGCTGCATCACTCCAGGATCTGTCACCACAAGGATTCTTTCCTTGGTGGCTTTCTCAGTCACTAAGGATGCCAAGTCCTTTTTTTATAGGGCCTAGCCTGCTATAGTACCACTGAATGTTAACTAGTTAGGTCGAAAATGAAAAAATGCTCTTTTCAATAAGGTCACACTCAGAAGTACCAGAAGTGAGGGCGTGAACTGACATTTGATGAGGGGGCGGGGGTGGGGGCACAAGTAAACCCATCACAAGGAGGAGTCGACTTTAGCCATCGCCTGGCCCCTTCTCTGCCTGTAGCTAAAAGCCCAACTTTGGTTTTTCTGAATCTAGACAGGGTTCCTTGTGCAGCGTACTCCTGGAAGTCCCATTGCTTGTGAGACTACGCTTGATTGTCCAACTGCTTTTTCCTCCGCACTCCAGTGCTTTCGCCTTTAAATAATGAACGCCCAGCCCGGTGGAGCTGCGTTATAATCGCTGTTTCTGTGGTTTCAATCTTCTGCTTTCTGGGGTAAACTCAGCCCCTCGGTCTGTGTTTGGTGGTGTTTGGTTTCCCCTTCTTTGACTCTTCCTAGAAAGCTTGAGGAAGAAGCATGTGCCATCAACCATTTCACTTCAGAGTTGTCGGGGGGATTCAATCTTCCGACTGTGCTGCCCAAGTCCGCGTGACCTGTCTCTGTAACCCTGATGCTCCCATTTGTAGACATCATCAATAAAAGCGTGGAAGAAAAGATGAGGAGAGTTTGCTTTCTTGGCTAGCCTCTGAAGCATTTCTGGCAGCACACATACGCACGTGGCAAGGGGAAAAGCACAAAGCTGGATTTCTGTGAGTGCCCATGGGTGCAGAGTCATTACTACCTGCACCTGTGTCTATGCAGTTTGTTAAGAGAGTACTCTGAGCTTGTTCATTTTGGTGAGGGTTTTAACCGCACACGTAACTGCATGTAGGCTTTAGTCAGGTTTGGTTTTGAATCCAGCTCCACCAGTAACTTTTGGGAAAAATACTCATCTTCTCAGTTTTATTTATTTTTAAATTTTCTGTGGAAAAAAAAATTAGTGCTAATTTTTTAATTGTGTTGCTCTTAGGGTGACCAGAAAGCATTTTTGCCTTCAGTATCAGCCATGTAAGTGCCTATCTCAGATGTGAGCAGCCCAAGTAACAGAAAGCCTGGCTTCAGCAAGAAAGAGGTTAAAGGGTCTCATTGACCTAGAGTCAGGTGGCAGCTAGAGTGCCATCAGAGTTATTTTGGGTCCATCTGCTCTGCCATCTTAAGAGTTGTATCCTTTGGCTTACCCCAGAGTCTCTGACAGCTAAACCCCATGCCCATCCTTGTACCAATCACTGGCAAGGGGACTGGGTGGGCTGAGTCATCTGGCACCAGGCAGTGCTGTTATTGCAGTAAGACAGGGCTGGTAAGGAGGAAACAGGGATGGCAGCGAGGAGGCAGTCCCTACCAGCTGCCTCTGTACTCAGAAAATACCGTCCAGTGCAGTAGGGTTATAAAAGTACATCCAAGGGAGTCACTTTCAAGTGTCTGATGACCTTTTATTCTCCTAAATAAACCAGTTTTAACATCTTAGTGTGTATTCCTTCTGATTCTAAGATTGCGCATGTTGATGAGAAAAGTGCATGCTATTTTATATGTTAATTTCACATTCTATACGATTCCTCCATGTTAACAAGCATCTTGTGTTACAGATACTCAGAGCTAGCTGAAGGAATTTAAAATAGTTTGTAATTCTCAGACATGCCTACATGGTGCAGTTGAATTGGGCAGCCAACACAGGCTCTTGGAAAGAAAAGAGGCTTGTTTCTTAGGCGTGCGTAGTGCACCGTGAAGAGATCTTGTTCAGCATATGCTCCAACCACCAGTCCCAGGCAGATGATTCCCAGAGCTGGAGCTGTGGCTAATGACAGACGTGGTACTAATAATTCCTTGACTAAATGTAGTTCAGCTGCACAGGCCCCTACCAGGGTTCTACTTTGTGGGCCAAAATAGATGGGCTCTTAGGAGTGTCTGTATATACTCAAGTATAAGCCGAGTTTTCCAGCACATTTTTAATGCCATTTTTGTGGTAAAGTAGGTGCCTCGGCTAATATCTGGGTTGGCTTACCCTAGAGTATGTACGATAAGTGCCAGCTCTAGTAACTGGCCAACTTCTAACTTAAAACTTAAAAAAAAAATTTTTTTCTTTTTAAAATTCACTTTCATTGAGCAGTCACTGGTCTTCTTCCCAAAAGCTGGCTCAGAAATTGTGCTTGCTTTTACTTGGCTTATTTTCACCCAAGATTCAGTTAGGGGAATGTATTCTTCACCATGAGCCCAACAACTACATATTGCGTATTTTTCAGGGTTCTGTGAAAAATAGAAACCCTTCTAGGTATTCTAAACAGAAAGATTTAATAGAGACAGCAAGTGGGCAGGAAGACACCGGGAAGCTGGAAGAGTGAACTGTAGTCTGAGCCTCCAGGAATGATGATAAGAAGGCCAGAGGACTGATCCACCAGGGGACCTGCAGCCTCTGCTGTAATCCGGAAAGTGGAGACTCGGGAGCCATTGTCTTCACACACCCCCCACCATAATTGCAATCCAAGCATCAGGAAAGTCTTACAGGATCAACTGCTTCTGGAAAACCAGAGCTGAAGATTGGTCCTGGAATACCTGAAGAGGAAATCCACACGCTGAAGGTCTACCGTGCTAGGCACTGTTCTAGGAGTGCGGGCTACCTCAATGGCAAGACAAGTTCTCTGCACGGGTGGGGTTTCCATCCCTTCACCAAGACCCACAGTCTTCGAAACACAGTAGTCAGATTCTGGTAAAACGTGCCATCTTTGGCCAATCAATAAGACCCCAAGGGATCCTTTCAGTCCCTTTAGCCTTTGGCTACTCACCTGGAGCGTTTTACTCCAACCACACTGGCCTCCTTGCCACTTCTGTAACATAGGAGGCAAGCTCCCCACTTTGCCTAGATGCCTACTTGTCTCATATCTTCACTGCAGGTCTGAGACTGTCCCTGACAACTACACAGAATCCGCTCATTCTTAGCCCTGACACTCAGGCTCCTTACCTGCTTTGTTTTCCTCCATAACACTTATTACCATCTGACATGTTTCTTTGTGTGTTCGGTATCCCCACTAGAACAAGCTACGTGAGAGTAGATACTGCATTACAGAATCCCCGGTGGATTACTAAAGGTAACTCCTTGTACAAAATACAAATGAACTAGTTGAAGTGCTTGACGACGAACTAAAAGGTGGGCAGTTGGAACCCACCTAAGGCACCTTGGAAGATGGGCCTCGTGGTCTGCTTCCGGAAGGGCACAGCTTTGGAAACCCGAGGGAGCAGTTCTGCTCTCTACGGGGCTGCCACCACCACTAGATGCTAAAGTGTGTGTCGAAGAATGAAGGAGTGGCTAGTGTGTGAAGAATGTA